AACGTCCACTCTGAGAATAGGCTCCAGAACTTCCAAAGGCGTCTGCATGGGTATTGTGATGTGAATATAGACTTTCTAGCAGCATACTGGATGCTACCTTCGTTTTGTCCCGGATGACAAACAAGAGCGTTGTTTTACGGGGTGTGAAGAGCCGCATCATAACCTGAAAAAAAATAGGAATCAGGAATTGAGAATACGATGCTTCAAAGGATGATCACCTGAAAGACGGTCTTCAGCAAAGGTTTGTTGGCTGCGTGCTCTCGACCAATATCATGACACCACCTTTACGAAAGTACTGACGAACATAAACAGACGAAGTACTACAACAACTTACATGTTTATCAAAACAACGTCCGAAACAGCTAGCGCAAACAAAGAGCTCTGCTTTTCAAAAGCAGTGTCGTCCTGCATTTTGGAATGTCAGCTATGCATAAAGATAAAAACACACAATACCTCTCCTCTCTCACGACCATCCGTGCCTTCAAGATCCAATATCAGTGTGCACGGCTCAATACCGCTGGCCTTGGCAAGCCACACTCCTTGTGTTGTCTGAGACCTACGCAAAGCATAAGGAAGGAAAAAGCCTAGAACAAGCAAACACCAACCTTCCCTTGAAAGCATCCATTTCTCGAAACCTCGTACGAAACAAATGGTTCAAGAGCGTGCTCTTCCCTGTTCACATCAAAAGAAAAGAGAGAGAGAGAGAGAGAGATTTTTTTTGGATATGATCTAAACACACCTACCGCTGCTTTGTGGACCCATAATCGACACCACAGCATAGGATAGCCCACATTCCGGCAGCCTCACGGATTTCACAAACTCTTCCAATCCAGCCTCGTTAAATTTACCGCTCCCGTCAATCAGCTGCATCGTGGGCACCGTGAATCCATTCTCCTGAATCGAGCAATAGACGATTGGAAACAATCGAAGAAGAAAGAAACAAACCTGGCTATGCATCTTGTGGAAGGATCGGGCAAGAATGCTGGGAGAATGGATCCAAGAACCCTAGAAGGCACTAGGCAATGCTGGATCGATCGATTCGCACAAAACCCCTCAAAACCCTGCTCGCGATCAGATGCACGCCGATCTGTGCCGATGAATGCTGGCGACTGGATCGATTTCGATCGGAGCCACGCGCCTCACGATCGGCGCTCGCTAGGGAACGGGAACACAAAATAGGGCAGAGCGACTGCTCTGTTTCGTTGCCCACTGTAGGGCATTTGTGGGGAAATAAAAAAACTCCCAATTGCGTGTGAAAAACCCAAACCCTTTCTCTTTGGACGAGGGAGACATGGCGGCTATGGCGCTAGGGCATCATCACCTCTCCTTCGCGGCAGCTCCTTCGTCCGGTCGCCCTGCCAGGTAAGAATTCCTCGCAAAAATGCGACTGCATTTCGATCGATCGACACGATTTTCCATTTCTTCCGATCACGATGTGATTTGCATGCGCGATTCAAAAGAATAGCTCGTTTGCCTCGCAAAATTCTCTAGCTTTGTGGCTTAGCTTTCGAAGTTTCGTGTTCCTTCTCTCTCACCTCTTTTTTTTTTTTTTTTTGTAGAGATTCCTCGCTATTGGGTGGGAACTTCGCTTCTTTGCATAGGATCCTATCGAAGAGCCACGCCCGTGTTCTTCACCACAGTGTAAGCTGTGCTGCCGTGGTCAAGGAGAAAGAGGCCTTGGACATCCAGCAGTGGAACGATGAGGCTTACGAGGCAAGGCTACAGCACTTGGAATCACAGGCGAAAAGTGTTCTCCAGAAAACGATCGAGTGCTTTGAGAGACCAGCTTTTCCCTGTGCCTTGATCGCCGGTGATGTGGTAAGTCCATACATATTTTTCTCGAGCGTTCTAGTTCTTTGTTTTGTTTTGAAGATTTCTTCTGAGCTTGCAGGTGATGTTAGACTTGCTCCACAAAATCGGCGCCTTTGAAAAGGAGGCCGTGAAAGTCATATTCATTGACACTTTCCATTTGTTCCCGGAGACGTACACCTTTCTGAAGAGCCTCGAGGTATGGAGAGCTATCTCCTGACGTTGGAAAAATTCATGTATGGCATTGCAGGATAAGTATGACTTCAAGGCCCGTGTGTTTCACGCAGCGGACTTTACCACCAAGGAGGAATACCTTGCAAAGCATGGATCGGACCTCTACATTAGGGTAAATCTGTCAGACAATCCCTCCGCTTCATGTGATTGGGAAAAACGTTGTAGAATATAGACGAGTATGACAAGATCTGCAAGGTGGAGCCTTTCAATCGAGCCTTGTCGAGTCTCCAGGTAAGGGGAGAGATTGAAGCTGCCGTTTTCTTCTAACAATTTCTCCAGGTTGATGCGATGATAAATGGAAGAAGACGTGATCATGGCGCTGAAAGAGCTCATCTGGAGGTAAGCCGACATAATACTATTTAGTCAGTGTATAAAGTTGAGGCCTTTCAGGTAGCTCAAGCTGGAAAGATGGTGAATGTCCAGCCACTTGCATACTGGGAATTCAGGCGAGTTTATTTCTTGTTATTGCAATCTAGAGATAGTTGAGGTTTGTTTTTCTCCCAGGGATTGCTGGAGCTACCTGAAGAAAAATAGCGTTCCCTATCATCCACTTCACGACAAGGGGTATCCAAGCATTGGAGACGTCCAAAGCACGCTGCCAGTGCCTAAAGAGAAATGGTTCGAGTATGGTGGAGAGCGATCTGGCCGCTTCCAGGTATTGCGAATAAAGATAGCACTGAAAGAGAAACTGATTTTACTTGAATATCCAGGGCCTCACGAACAAAGATGGCTCGCTCAAGACTGAATGCGGGATACACACCCAAAAGTAGTCGAAGTTTGTTTCTAGGGACAAAATCAAAGGAATAAAACACCTCTTTTCCCAAAAGAAAGGAATATGTAATATTGTTTTTGGTTTGCTTAAGCAAGCCAGTAGGATATAACTAAAATATACCATCTAATGGTTGTTATTTAGATTAATTTTGTATTTATAATTTATAAACTTTTCTAAACATTTTCTAACATATTTTAGTTTATTCCAATGGTTGATATTCAATAAAATTAATCTTGTGTATATAAATTATAAACATGTTTATAGTTTTAAACTTATATTTGTGAGTGTATAAAATATAGAAATGAATTACAGAAATATGCATATCAATTAGCCCAAAAAAAACCTCTAGCTTGTATATAAAAGTGATTGGTTTAGATTAAAAACAATCTGATAACTATCAAAATCCCATTACATCAATATTAATGTTTGACATTATAATTATACATTTGGACCTTATATCATCTTCTCAAAAGGATAAGAGGCAGTCAAAGTTCTTTGGTTGACAAGCTGAGATCTAAAGGAATATTAAGACAAGGCATCAATAGATCTATAAGTTATATCAATTATTCCTACTCCCTTTATATAAAGTGTTTTAACTGCTATATATACACAATTTCTAAACAATCTACCTATTGAATATCACAAATCCTTAAGCCCTAAAGTGGAGTTGAAGCTATGCCCTGTGGTAGTGGTCAAAAAGGAAGTCTAACGAATGTAATATGTTTGGACTAAAAGCTCTAACTCGGAAAGTCAAGAGCAAAATTGAGCTTCAAATAAAATGCTTAAGGAATGAATATAAAACAATTGATGAATGAATTTCTAGAAAATGACATAAGAAGGACTGACACATGGAAGTGTGAGGACTGAGTCTAATATAGAATTCAAAATGGAGTCTAAGAAGGAGTTTGAGATGCAATCTAAAATAGAATCTAAAATGGAGTTTTAGAAGAGTCCAAGATGGGGACCGAGATTAGGACCTAGATCAAGACTAGGACCGAAACCGAAACCAGAACCAAGACCAAGCCAAATCTGAGTTTGAGGGTGAAAGTCCAAAGCAATTGTCTCCTAGACTTTAGGGGTTTGGTGAGTTCTAGATAACACAAAATTTTAGAAAATCCATTGATATTAGAATAACAGACTCATCAAGAGTATGAAAAGAGTGTGAAGAAAGGAGAGGAGCTCAAGAAAAGGCATCAATATTAATTATAGAATTTCTTGGGCAATGAACAACCTCGAAATCATATATTTGAATCTTTAGGCCCTATTGATCAATAACAAAATAACCATATTAACGAAGTAATTTCTATTTCAATAGCAAAGTAACTGTAACATAATCACTTTCTAATAATGTCTGAAAACCATGCAAGTATGCATGAAGTTTCTCAAAACTTCAAATTGCAACTAAACACTCCTCTACTATAGAGTAGTTCATCTCTATTAGTTATAATATACAGCTAATATATGCAATAGGATAGCATTAATCAAGCACACTCAAGCTCTTTTGCATCAATACACCTCCAAAACTGATATAAAAAACATTTATGTGTAAAATGAATAGTTAGAATATGTTAGAATTAAAGGAGTCGTTAGCAACTCTTTGAGATCCGTAAATATTTGCTCATGGTCCATATACTAAATGAAGATGATGTTGACGACTTCAACAATACTCATAACAATGTAGTATGACTAGAAAAATGATCAATAAACGATTGAGATATTGCATCGGGTCTAATAAGCACTACACATCATTTACACATTTTAGAGTAAGAACTTTAGAACAGCTATAAATTTCTCAAGATCAATTTATAAACCTTTATAAAAAATATAGTACCCAAGATAAGTCGTATCCTTGCACCCAAACATGCACTTCTACTGTTTCAATTTTAAACCAACATCCCATAACCCATTCAACACCTTGCGAATATCATGAATGTGCTCTTCCCATATCCCTCTTGAATTGATCAAAACATCATTAATGAAGTTAGCAGTCACCTTTGACATAAATTCAAAAGCTTCGTCAACTGGGCTTTTTATATTTATCATAAAGAACTTCGTCCATCATCTGCTAGAAAGTTGCTCAAGCATTATTCAAATTGAATAGCATCATCAAAAACTCGTACAAACCAAATGCCAAGGACTTTGAGGCTTTTGGATAACACCCTTTTCTAACACCCTTTGATGTTCCTCTATAAAATCTTGATCTCCCTTAGTGCTAAACACTTAATAAAAACTTTGATTAAATGAGTATCCTCAATTGAAATAAGATGACATGTTGCAATCTTAACCCTAAATGAGAGGTCAAAGTTGAAGAGATCAACATACTCCTTTTTGAGTCCATCCACCACTATAACATATAGATTGTTAGAGGAATTTGGAGAGGGAATAGAGGAGTAATATGGATATACAATAAGAAACAATGGGGAGATAAAAATGATAAAAGTAGAGGTGGAAGTGGAAAGATAAGGGGGAGCAAAAGTTAGAGGAATGGATAAAATATGAAGAAGTATGAGACAAAGGGGGAAAATTTCATAATTACGCTTGGCATGATTCCACTGCAATTAATCCATATCAAGGATGAAGTCAAAAACTTGACTTGGTATTACCCATAACAATTAAAGTTCAAACTCAAAATCTCCTACACACAAAGCTAAATTTACTTTATCCTATGCACATATATATGTATGGCTATTGCCATAAAGAATGAAGATTGGCTTCACCACATAACACAACTGTAGATGGTAATATATGGCAACATGCTGAGTAATAGAAGATAAACTTAAACTTATATCAACTAACATAGAGAAAATAATAGAAAACCTCTTGTTATAAAAATGAGCTTGGAAAGTAAATATTAAATGTTCTAGTGCTGAGTGAACCTCTTGATAGTACTTACAAAAGAAGGATGAAAGGGTTATTAACTTATTCGCTCAAACACTTTCTATTACTCATATGACTCCTTATTTCCCAGAAGATTCTTTATGTCAAAACTTTCCACTTCAACAATACTAGCAAAACATTATTGATGATAAGGCTTCCACTTAAGAAAATGAAGGATGTTAATCCAGAAAATGCTGATAATACAGATATATGTGGCTAACCTCATCACATATTTAACAATAGATATCACAATTATAACCACATCCTCACTTTTATCCTTGAACATGAGTAGCAATAATATGAACTTTAATTAGAATAGGACCATTTCCTTTAGAAAGGGAAGTTGAAGGACATATAACAAGAAGTGGAAAAGGCAATATTTTATAATGTTATGTCAGTCAAAGAGCATTGTCAAAGGTGGCTGGAATAAGTGTGTGTATAAATCCCATAATATCTTGATAAAATGTTAGCTATAATATTTGTAACTTGATCTATTTTGACATATTTGGCTCCATACAAAGCAAGAGGCTTTAGAAGTTAACACCAAATTGCATCATTGATTTAGATAATCCAAAACAAAGATGATATAATTGTTAAAAAGCATCAATCACAATCATTAGCATGTCCAAATGCACATTTGAAAAAAAATTTGGAAGAATATTCTAATCCATATGAAATATAATCCCAAACATCAAATAAAGTATTACTAAAAACTTTGCCCTTCAAGAATAAATTGCATGCCTCTCATAATATTAATTTTTAAAATTAGGTATATAACATTTTTAGAAGTAACATCATCATCTAAATATTTTACAAGGTCAAATTTGTTAAAATTAGTATTTAATAAAGTCACTTAAATAAAACAACAAACTTAAAAATAGTAATAATTTATTTTTCTCTATCAGGATTTATATTATAGTACTTCAGATACTAAAAGCTTAATTTTAGAGAATATTTAAATTAATTAAATTAAAAGAATTCTAGGAGTCACAACTTATTATTACTCACTATATTATCAGTTTTAGAGTGGTACAAAAATTAACATTTTGTGGTAAAGAGAGTCTAATTTTTTTTCAAACAAACATTAAATTATCTATTTTTACTAATTAAAATGTAAATAAAATTTTAAAGATTTAATAGCATGCCTATCTACTATAATGTCAATATGACTTTTTTTTGTCACAAACTCATAAAAGTGATGAGATATAATATTTGCTACATATTTATAAAAATATTAATAAATGGTTAATGATTAAAAAACTATAAAACATTATTGATAAAAATAAATTTAAGAAAAGTCTTTTCATTAAAGCTTAGTCTATAGCATTTGCGAATACCAAACTTAATTTTTGATAAATCTTAGTCATATTTATTTCCTAAAAAAATTGATAAAATTAGTTGTAAATTTATTTTTTAATAAAATATAAAATAAATTTATTATTATTTTAATAATAAATATATTTATTTTATCTATGATATTTAAAAATAATAAAAAGTGTGGGTAAAAAGAATTAATTTTTTTAGAGTAATACCAAGAACCAAAACCAAATAATTAAATACTTTTTTAAAAACAATTATAGCTCTTTAAAAAAGTTATGAGGATGTGGGTTAGGATAATTTTCTACTTTGAAAATCTTTTTACCATTATTATATTTTATAGAAAAAGTACTTTGTTTGTTGTTATTCATCCAAATGAATATTTCCTATTTTAAATATAATTAAATATTTCTTTAAAATTTCAATATGATTTAAAATATTTCAATGCAATATAATTTTTATAATAACATTAATAATGACTATGGTTGAGTGTGGAGGAAAACAATTTGGCCGCTGAGCACTAAGCTAGTGTTAAAAGACAAACTGATTTTAATCTCACTAAAAACAACAAAAAAAGAAAAACTGCTTGAGAACAATGCTCATTTCCAAAAATCATTTCCAGAACTGAAAGCTCTGAAAGAAAGAATGAAAAACTTTCTGAGGCTCAAGTTAGAACTGCGTTTAGTCTGTGGGCACAAACCCGAGCAGAATTTCATAGGCAACCTGGAAGAACTCGTCATATAAGGATTAACAAATTCGACAGGCTCTACCTTCCTCCAGTTGCCAGATTAAAAGCAGTGCTGGAAGCAACCGTGGAATCCCATCTGGAAAACAATCCTAAAATAAATGGCATGGTAATTTCGTCTGCAGCGAAGATCAATTTATAAAACCAGAAAAAAAGAGGAAAAGGATAATTACCAAAAGTGGCGAGCCTGGAGTGGAGCCTTGACACTGCTACCTCGTTACTCACAACTTCAAAGTGGAACTCCAGGCCAGATGGAAACCTCTTCCTTGCAACTATCCACTGCCACAGTTCAACATAAGGAAACGTCTTGATGAGCTCAACTGCGATTTGCAGTAGAAATCTGGGAACGGTGAGAGACGCGTGTAATATCGTGAAAAAAGTGTAAAACACCGACGTTGTGGGAAGCAGCAGGAGGAGCGGCGTAAACATTAGAGAAGCAACCACGAGCTCTTCCACTGAATACTCGTAGCTATCAATCCGGTTTCTCAACGGATTAAACTTTCGACCCCTGAAAAAACGTTTGTCAAGAAAAATTAAATAGAAAAGTTGTCTTGTGTTACCTGAACATTCGCCACAACGCTGCGAGTACCTTGAGCTGGTTCCCATATATGAAGGCGGTCACTCTTTGAAGCATAGTTATGTGAGCAGTCGCCATAAAGACAGCGTCCACCATAACTGAGGTTGAGACGCTGGCACCGAGTAGAATCGAGACTGCTCCCAGGCATTGTAACAACCGAACAGAAGCTGGGAAAAGCTCCAGAAACGTCAAGAAAGCCTGGGTGACGTTCAAAGCGGCAGTCCCCATAACCTCGGCAAGCTCGTTGTTAAGCTTGAAGCCGGCTGGAACTCCCATGAGCCAGATGCATCCAGTTCGCAGGACGTCGTTGGTCAAGAAGCAAGAGAGAGTCACGACGAACACCGCGATGGCGTTTTGGAACATAAGCACAAGGACGCCAAGCACCGTGCCAAGCACTAAATCCACGGCTATCTTGAACCATAACGAATGTCTCAGCAAGTCAAGTCGATGGAAAACGGCTGCATTTGGATGTTGAGGCCTGCAAATGCAAATGCAAACACAAACTTCAAGAAAAAAAAAAGAAGCCAAAAACATACCCGTCAGTGCACCAGAAAAATACCGAAGGCCACATACTAAGCTCCTGGAATCGATTCTGAATGCTTTGGAACGTACTGCTAGAACGCAGTGCACAGCTCACAAGTGGCATTGAAAGGAGCCAGTTTGACGCCAGAAACCAGACCCGACTAGCAGCAAAGTATAGTGAGGATAAAATAGCAGCCACTCCGGTCAAGACACTGCAAAATTATCAACATGAGCACAGAAACTAAGCATCATAACAACTTACATAGAAAATGTGTCTCGGAACGTCGAATGAGCAACTTTGTCAGTCGCAGCATCCAGAAAAGAAGCACAGTTAAGCTGCCGCGTCACCATAGCCTGTATAGCAACCACAATATAAATCCTGCTTCTCGCGTTCAAGTAACATCAAATGACTTCTTACCAAAGAAAACTTACGATATCTGGACCTCTATTTTGCTGCTCAAGCTCTAGAATCCAGTAAGGCTTCTTGTCAATGTTTCCTGGCTCAAAACTTTGGAGCCTGAAACACGAGGGGAAAAAATCCCACTGCTGGAGTGAAAAATGGTGGCTCCGGAAGAGAGGGGGATTGTACAGAACAAACTAAAATCACGAGAAAACTTAAAAGAAGAAGGAAAAAAAAAATCCGAATGACTTACGTGAACTTTCGGTGAGCATGGCTTGCCTTCGAGAGTGATGGAACAATGCGTGGGAGTCGAAAATCCATCCCGGGCGGCAGCGCAGGAGCATGTTATCCACAACTTGCTCCTCGATTCCGGCATGGCAAGCTCTCGCGGCTCTAGCTCGTTGGCAATACACAAGCCAAGCACACAGACATCCCCGCAGCATTCTTCTAGCGCTCGCAAGCTGCGCCTTGTGAAGAATCCCTACACAGAGAGACAGAGAGAGGGAGAAAGGGATCGCGGAAAAATCTCAATGCTGCTCACCTCCAGATCAAATGCCGGAGCCGCCGCAGCCACGACGAGATCAGCACAGCGCCTGTGAAGATTGATCCATCCCAGCAGCGCCAGAGGCCCGCCCTGGCGGAGGCGCGGAGGCCACCATATCCGACAAAGCTCCATTACAAATATTTGGCCTAGGTTTAGGGTTCTACCACTTTACACCTTTTAGAGGAGAATATAGAATATGCTCTGAGAGCTAGGTTTTGGGGCATGGATTCTTACAGGACATGGGATATAGCGCACTGGCCAGAGGACATCGTGCTGTGCGTGGATGTGGATTTGGAGATGGATTCCGAGCTCAAGAAGGGCCACGCACTGACGAGGATGGATGCGATCAAGCAAGCGCTTCTAATGTTCGTGCATTCCAAGCTCCTCATGTCGGCCGATCACGCATTTTCCATCGCTACCATCGGACAGGGGGCTTCTTGGGTGAGTGGCAGGCTCTTGCCAGCAGCAAAAATTCTTTCGCGATCTAGTCTCTGGTTCTCGAGATTTCGCTGCAGAGATTTTTTCATTTGGTCCTCTGGAAGTTTTGGCTTAAGATTCTCTTTTCTGTGTAGCACTCACACCAATATCTACGCGACTTCGATGCAATCTCGACCTCGATTCGCAGCTTGAGCTCTCAAGGCTCTTACACAAAGTGTGACCTCTCCAGCCTCTTTCAGCTCATACTTCCCGACGCCAGAGCCTCCAAGAAACGAAGTCGAGCTTTTCGAGTGGTAAGAGCATTTTTGGTTTTCTCCTTCGTAGATGAGCTCATACCCTGTGTTTGCTTCGTATCCAGATCCTCGTCTACTGCAGATCAAACACTGTTCCAAAGTTTAACATCCACATTCCGGATCCAAGCCTTGTAGTTTTCGACGCTCTCTACCTCCACGACAAGCCAAATCCCAGCAACTGTCCCCAGCAAGTGTACGATGCTCTGGTGGAGATTTTGGAGAGGGTTCACGCTCACAGTTACATCTTTGAGAGTGGAGGTGGTCTCACGCGTGTGCTCTTCAGACACATTTGTCAGCTCTTGGCTCATCCCCAGCAGCGCTGCTTGCAAGACGATTCTCTTCCTGTGGATCTTTCCAAGCCGAATGCTCCGGCCGCTGCTACAGATGGATCCGCACAGAATCAGGTGGATGAGAAAATAAACTCGTTGGCGATATGATTTACTTTTTGCCTTAATCTGCTAAGTTTTGGGATCTCAAGCACCAATAAAACAGCAGCGAATCCGACCTGCCGGAATCGAACCAGCGACCTAAGGATGTCTGAGCAACTACAGTCCTCCGCTCTACCAACTGAGCTAAGGTCGGTTTTATGATAAACCCGTTTGCTTAGGTATCTTAAAAATATTCTCTTTAAAAAACTATTTAATCCATCAGGATTTTACTATCAGTCCTCTTTTTTTTTTCTTTGATGATTTCTTTATTTTTTGGATACTCTACTGGAAAAATATGGCTACAATGCAATGGTGACTGATGTGTTGATGGACTATTAACAGCTTCATGCATAACTAAAGATCAAATACTGTGTAAAGGAACTCACAAGTTGTAGGGTGAATTTGGTGTGTAGATGCAGGAGACAATGATATTACTCAAACAGTATATCGTTATATACACTATACTCATCGTTATATTGAATAACGATGGACATATCCTGAATGTTCACCAGAAGAACCTGAACCATTCATATTACAAAACAGCATAGATAACAAGGAACAGCTTGTTAGAAATCAGAAGAAAGTATCAAGAATTGTATAGTCCAAATTCGGCTTATATTGTTAAGGCTCTTCTTGTTTTGGCTTGAAGTACCTGGAAGATCACATATACATTCCAAGTAGACAACTTTACCCTGGGCTTAAACAACACTAAGGATCAATTCCTTCTTCTGTGTATCTAAACTCCACGACGAGGCCGAGATTATCCACAAGCTGATGGTAAACTTCACATCCCGAGCACTAGAGCAAAAGTAGAAGAGGAGGAGAAAAAAAAGATTAGGATGAATTCCAAGACCGTGATGAGAGCTATGTGCACCTGGACGTAGACTGTTCCTCGCTCGTAAGCGTGAGGATTTATCAGCCGTGTAGTTCTTGTCTGGCAAGCATTGCAAGTAAACTCGGCTTGGAGCCTTCTTCGCGGCAAGTGGAGATCAAGCTGCGCAGTCTGCCAGCAATCGACGAGAAAGAAAGAAGCAAAAGAAGAAGCTAACTTAGTGGAAAAGAAAAAGAGGAGCATGATCTACCTGAGAATTCTCATCAGAGGTGGAAGGAGACTCGCCATTTTCTGACACTGATCTCACACCAAATGAGACTCAGTCCACAAGATTCGATTCAGTAACTTACATTCTGCAACGCATCCAAGGCGCCGCTCACGATGCCGCGTCCTTGCGATCGCAATGCGCGGCCCCGGCGACGCGACCAAACTTTTCGCCAGAAATCTCTCTCCTGACCTGGGAAATCGGATGCGCCGCAACGGCGGGAGCTCCAGCGATCGATCCGACGCTGCTGTTGAGAAGAGATCGATGCCGCAGGCGCAAGAAGCGGTGAGCGCCATTTTTTCCAGTCCCGGAAGAACCCTAAAAATGCCAATGCTGCCAAATATTATAAACCTAAACCTCCGTGTTTGGCCTGGGCAGGAGAAGCATGCCTGCCGGCATTTGCAGCGCGCCACTCTGGATCCACCGCGCGGATGCTCCAGCTACGGCGCTTCACATCGATCGAAGTCTCGTCGCCAGCAGCAGCGGATTCGATGGCTACTCGGTGAGGCCTCGCAGGAGGCGCCAGATTTTGGTAAGGGAACTAGCTAAGCCTGAGCTTGTGATTGGATTGGAGGGATTGTTAGAGGATTTGGAGTGGATGGATTGTGCATGGATGGATAGAGACGGATTGGCGGCTTTTTATTTGCTTCTTTGCTCAGGGTCTCCCGTGTCTTGGTGGATTTTCTATAGAGGGTAGCAGCAGAGAGTAGAAGAGGGGAAACTAGAAGAAGCAGTGATCTGGTGCTTGGGTATGGAGATGAGATCCCGACTCAAGCTGAAGCTATTGCTGCTGGAACCACTGTGGCAGAGCAACCGAGCTATAAATCGATACCAGACTTGGACTACTTGCAAGTAAGTTCTTAGTTCTCTCGAAACTCTTGTTCCTTCTTCTTTGTTTTTCGGGAGTTCTTATGTTTTTCTCTTCCTTTCTCAGGAACTTCTCGCGATCCAACAACAAGGGCCAAGAGCTATCGGCTTCTTCGGAACGCGAAACATGGGATTCATGCATCAACAGCTTATTGAGATACTTAGTTACGCGATGGTAATCACGGTGAGTTTCCTGCTTCGCGACGACGAAGAAGCAGAATATCGAAAGGACGAGAAAAGTCTAACCGTCGGCTTCACCTCTTCCAGAAAAACCACATCTACACGTCTGGAGCCTCCGGCACAAACGCCGCGGTTATCAGAGGAGCATTGAGAGCCGAGAGGCCCGAGTTGCTGACGGTGATTCTTCCCCAAAGTCTGAAGAAGCAGCCACCGGAGAGCCAAGAGCTGCTAGCAAAAGTAAGAGCTTTTCTCTTTCTCTCTTGGTTTTCCACTCAAACACAACAACACCAGGTGAAAAACGTGATGGAGATGCCGCACAACGATCATCTCCCATTGATTGAAGCGAGCAGGTGTTTTCGTCTTTCCATTTTCTTCTTTGCTCAAGCATCGATGTTTTCTTTGGCTTCTGACCACCGGGCTTGCTTTCCAGATTGTGCAATATGGACATTCTTTCACACGTACAGCAGGTCATTTGTTTTGCCTTCCATGACAGCAGATTACTCATGGAAACATGCAGCGAAGCCAAGAGTCTTCGCAAGATTGTCACGCTATTCTATCTCGACTGATGATGACGAGAGCACGTTTTGTGGTAAACGATCATCAAACCATTCGGCTGTTTGCTTAATTGATCGCCCTTTGTCAAAACTTGTGTCTGTCAGCTATTTTCTTTTGTGTTTTTTATTGGTCCACTGCATTGTCTTTGTTGTGTGTCGCGTGTTCTCCGTGTTTCCGTAGGTTTCTCTCCTCTCATGGCGCTTCACCTTTACATCGATCTGCTCTCACAGCCATCGCGAGCAATCTACATCTTTTGCCGGTGAGATTGAAAGTTTTCTCTCCTTTCTTCTTTGCTTTTTCTTTCTCCTAAAGCCATGATCTTGCTTGAAACGCAGGGTGAACAACATTGAAGCCGAGATCCATCACTTAGACTTGATGAAGGGGGAGCACCAGACGCCAGAGTACAAAGGTACTTCCTGGAATTCAATCATTCTAGAAAAAGCCACTGTTTCTCGCGTCTTTTTTGCTCAGCTGTGAATCCAATGGGCCAAGTGCCTGCTATTGTGGACAATGGTTTCAAACTCTTCGAAAGGTTTGGACTCTGGCTCGTCTTTGAGTCTGACTTAACTTCTGCACAGCCATGCTATTCTTCGTTATCTGGCAACAACGAAGCCTGGGGTTTCTAGTAACTGGTAAAGCACCAAGTTTTTACTTATGTTCTGACCATTTTAAAACCGCAGGTACCCATCGGATCCATTACGAGGAGCTCGGATCGATAGCGTCCTGGATTGGCACCATGGAAATCTGCGTCGTGGTGCAGGTAACTTTCCCTTGTTTACTGTTACTTCCTCATTCATTATTCTCTCCTCATACAGCGGGCCTGTTTTTCAACGAAGTCCTGGCACCATATCTGGGCATCCCCAAAGACGAGAGCAAACTTGCCGAGTTTGATAAAACACTCCAAGCTTCAGTTGACACCATTGAAAACGTGTGGCTCGAAGAGGGCGGCAAATTCCTGTGCGGCGAGTCCGAGATAACCATTGCGGATCTGAGCCTGGCTTGCGAAATCATCCAGCTCGAGGTAAAGACATCACAGTCAGCTTTATCCTCTCATCTTCGTGAATAACGCTTTGGAAAATCCAGGTTCTGAAGGACAAGTACGCTAGTCTGGTTGGTCCAAGAGACAAACTTAAAAAGTGGATGCTTGATGTTGAGGAAGCAGCCTCGCCTTACTTCCGTGACGCTCTCTCTAACTTAGCAGCGGCAACGACCAAGTGAAAGGCATTACAGAAAGAAAGGTTTGCTTATATGTTTTCTTAGTCACCAATCGGTGATGAACATGGTGTGTGGCGACTGAAGATCGACTGAAGATGTTAAGCAAGAGGGCTGGGAGATTAATAACTGAGTCCTTTTGCTATTCCAAAGCTATAAACTAGAAAATGAATGGAGGTTTCCCTGGGAAAAAATGGCAACGCTGCACAACAAACCATGCGAGATTGGATATCAGCAAGGAGAGCAACTCCTGGGAGGAGTTTTGGCTGTCCTGTGCTCCTGCTGCTTCTCCTGCAGGAAGCGGATGTGTTGCGGCCTGCATAGCAGGTGCACCAACTTTACGTGGTGGGTGATGTGGTGGTAGTGCACCTGCAGCAGCGTCGGGTTGACCGCGTTGCTGGCCGACAAGTACGGGTCAACGTCACAGTAGTCAACGATCTCGCTGGGCCGAAAGGTGGTAGCCCAGGTCTGCAGCTTGGCGTGCGGGCAGTAGACCCGGATCTTGTGCTGGAACCTGTACAGGTACTTGTTCTCCGAGAGCTGCCGGTCCTGCTCCGGCGACACGATCTGGACGCTCATCTCCACCTGTTTCTCGATCTCCGTCTTGGGGCGGCAGTGGATGTCCACCCTCGCGCCCGGGTCCGCGTCCTCGTACTCGTGCGAGAAGTCGTACGCGTTCTCGAAGGAGATGATGTGGTTGACGCCCGTGTTGGGGTCCTTGAACGCGATGGAGCGGCAGAAGGTGTTTGTGTCGAGGATGGCGGTGGCGTTCTTGGTGGTCTTGAAGTCGGCGGTGTCGAACGAGTGGTGGGCGACGTGGTTGACGCGCCGGGTCATCACGGGGCGCTCCGGGAAGAGGCGGCGGATGTAGATGGAGTCGAGGAAGTGGACGCGGTTGGGGCCGGCGTCGCGGTTGGGCACCATCTTGGGCGCCACGCACACGATCCGCGGGGGCTCGTTCCATTTCGGCGGGGGAGGCTTGGGCGATCGCCCCGCACGCGTGCCCACGGAGCGCGAGCGGCATTGCTCCTGGGATTGCTGCGATTGATCGGAGGGATTGGGTCTCCGGACGGGCGAGCTCGATCGCGGCCGACTGCCAGGAGCCTGCCTGTGCCTGATTGTCAGATCGGCGGGCGTCTTGACCTCCCACGCCGAATCCATGGCGGCGACGGCGGCGAGGCCAGCAGCATTTCCTCCTTGCTCGCCGTGCCCAGCGCGCGCGAAAAGATGAGCGAATCGCGCGAGGAAACGCTTGGAGGGGCGAAGCGTTGCGTGAGGATGACGATGACGGTGACGGTGATGGGTGAAGGGTGACGGTCAACCGTCACAGATAGAATATTTTCTGGAAAAGATCCGCCTTTGGAAGAAAGATTCGTCTTTGGACAAGGCTCCAAAACCGGGGAAGTTTAAATTTCTCTCGTGAAACTTGGGTTCCATGGAAGGCGGGGTTGGAATCAGCAGCTACTCGCGGAATTCCTCCAACCAGGGATCGGCATTCTTGCTCATCGCCCCGGCTCTCCGCGTGGCGATCGCGGCGCACGACTTCGCCGATCACACTGCCGCTCCCCTCCGGATCGCCGATTTGGGATGCGCGGTGGGCAGCAACACTATCACCGCGGTAGCCTTTGTGATCAAGGCCGTGAGAGACAAATTCAAGTCGTCCGGGCTGCGCGAGCCCGAGGTCCAGGCGCTATTTTCGGATTTGGTCTCCAACGATTTCAACACGCTCTTCCAGCATCTGGAGGGCGCCGATTTCTTCGTCGCGGGAGTGCCAGGATCGTTCTACCATCGCCTCTTCCCCAGCTCCAGCATCCACTTTTCCATGTGTAACGTAGCATTGCAGTGGCTCTCAAAGGCGAGTGAGAGATTTCTTTCTCATCTCTAAAGTTCTTTGTTCCTTGAGATGATGTTTCGCGATCTTGGATGAATTGCTGATCGAGCTCGTTGCTCTTGCTCTTTCAGGTTCCAGCGGCCGTGGCTGACAGAAGATCTTCGTCCTGGAACGCTGGAAGAATCACTGCTGGAGGATCAGCACCAGAGGTTGCTCGAGCGTTCGCGTCGCAAGCCCACGAAGATCTCTGCCGCTACTTGGCTTGTCGAGCTGAAGAGACTGTCCCTGGCGGCCTCGTCACCTTCTTCGTAAGCATAAGATCGAGCAGCGATCCTGCGGAGCAAACGGGAGGCGAGGATTGTTCTCTCGGCTGGATGGTAACCTGCCTGGAGCAAGTATGGAACGATTTAGTTCTCGAGGTAAGAGATCATCAAACAGACTGAAAAGAACAAACCCGCTTTGCTTTGCACAGGGATTGATTGATGAAGAAACTCGTGACTCCTTCAATATTCCGGCCTACCACCGGACTCTGGACGAGATTGCCAAGGCCGTCAGCGACTCTGGCGATGTTTTCACTATCTTGCAGCTCGAAGAACTCAAGTGTCCAATGCCAACATACGCCAGCGTCAAGGCCAAAGTTGAGGCTGGAGGAGGGAAAGCTCCGACTCCTCAAGAGTATGCTGGCATAGAGACCATGGCGATGAAGAGCACTATGAAGAAACAAATAGAAGCACACCTGAAAACTCCAGATCTGGTCGAGGCACTGTTTAAACGGCTGGAAGAGAGATTTCTTCCGAAGGAACCTTATGTTCCAGCACGTCACGTCAAAATGGCTTTGGCAATCCTGGAGCGAGGAAGTAAATAAGACGAAAGTATGAGTTTACCATTTGAAGTGGATTTACAAATGTTGACAAGCATGCTTCTGGAAAATAGCAACCAAACGGAAAACTGTCACTCCAAAGCAGTGGAGATTGACTTGCCTTAGTTCTGCGGTGTTGCATGTCCTGCCTTGCACTGGCCCAAAGGAGGATGGCACAAAAAATGCTGCGTCACAGCAAAATGGTAATCGAAGTTGGAGCGCAGGTGCTTGCAGTGGAGCTCAATCCATCGCTCTTGCAGATTTGATGGCACTCCCTTGAGTCCTTCCTCCTCGGGACTAGAAATAAGAGGACGAATTTCTTCGCGGAGTGCCTTGAACTCTACCGCTACAGCCTTCTGCTTTGCCTGCGCACCAAATGCCCGTAAAACAAAGGCTCCAAATAAGCAAGCAAACTTACTTGCATCGCCACAACCTCTGAGCACTCCACCTCGAGAGCAGGCTCCGTCTTGGCAGACTCGGCGTTGATCCTTTTGTTAATGATGTTCCTCGACTTTTGGAAGGCGAGAGATTTTTGCTTCTTGTTCTGTTGCTGATCCTCCACCTTTTGCTGCAGCTGCTGCTTTGGCCGGATAGTTTTCTTGTCGGCTTCGATTTGTCTCGCTAGCACAGACCTCTGACCTTTCACGACATTGTCTGCAGCGTCAGGGCCCGCCTTTGCCTTGGTCTCCGCCACCGGTTGCTTAGAGCCAGCCTCCACCTTCTTCGAGCCAGCAGCAGTCACTCCCTCCTTGCCTTTCGCAGCGACCGCCTCTTTTTCCTTCTGCTCTTGCTGTTCTTGCTGCTGCAAATGCTTAAGTATTGGAAACTTCTCCAGCAGATCTTCCTGCTTCATCACCAGCGCCGGATGCCTGCGTCCCCGCTGGTTTGGAGTTCGCTTCCGAGTGAAGCGCATGATTCTAATGTCCGCTACCTGCGTGTGCTGCACGTGTTGCGTAGCAGCAGCAGGAACTGCGAGCTGTTGCGGCGATGGATGGGCGTTCACGTTAGACTCCGGTGGCGGTGCTGGATCTATCTCTGTGGCCTCCACCACTGGCTCGGGCGGAGGCTGCGATGCCGCCAGAGCTCTCCAGTCATCGTCGCCATTATCTTCGTCCATGGTGCTAAACTTGGTTTGATCCTCGTCGACAAAGTCATTCACGCCATGAACTCTCTCCATGGCAAACCTGGGAAGGAAAAGCAACAAGAAAATCAGAAGAACTCGTAAAAGATCTCTCAAAAGTAATGCACACAAAATGGCACAAAACGAAGAGAGGAAAATGAAAATCAAACGAGCTGTTTGCTTGCTTGCCTCTCTTCATCACCGTCCCAGCAAAACACAGGCGTCTGTAGCTGCAAAGATCATACAGCTAAAGCCGTAGCACAGCGCACAAAGATTTTCTTACCGATGCTGCCTCTTCCATTGCTCCTCGCTGCAAATCCAGACCAGCCTAATGTGTAGATCGAGCAATCGCTTACCTCGGCTCGCAGCGCCGCAGCTAGCTGCGATCGAAATCACGGCGCTCCAAAATCCCAGCAGCGGTCCCGCCAGTGCCGCCCTACTCAAACCCTAGCAAACACTACTGAGAAGAAAACTATTCCCTCCCAATTATGTTAAAAAAATAGCTAAGCTTGAGCTTGAGCTTCTAGTTGCTGGAGCTCCTCTTGCCATGCTTTCACCTTCTCTGGTTTTGGCTGAGAGGACGTCCCTTCTTGCGGCGATTCGTTTGCTAGCCGGATCTACGCAGAGAAAAAAGAGTGAAGATCCATTCGCTTGGATTTTTTAGGAGTGAAAAGAAAGAATCGGACCTTTTTTTTGAGAGCTCGAATCCTCTTCTCCAGCTCCGACTTGCCAGTGTCAGTCACGCTTTGATTTCCTTCTTGCGAGATTTCTCCTTGCTTTGTTGTCTCGCATGGCTCGGAAGAAACTTGCAGGGCGTCAAGTTTTTGTGAGAGTGAGTCGCCGGGCTCTGTTGTTGTCGATCCCAGTTTTGCCTGATTCAGGAGAAAAAATTGTAAGCGATGAAGAAAAGATAAGACTGGCGACACAGAAAAAGATCCAATCGTCTCACCTGTTGCTTCTTCTCCTTCCTTTTCTCGTTCTTCTTTGCGGCTTTAGTTTTTGGCTTGATCAAATCGGTTTCGGGGTCGTAGCCAGGAGGAACCAAAGGAGCATCCTTCTTGAACTGGACAAAGTAATAAGCGAAGATGTTGTGATGAATTTCCTAGCTTACCAAGGCGCCTTTGGATTGATAAATGGCGACCTCCTCCTGCGCCACGTATCCAGCTCGTATCCTCACGGCCTTGCGCATTGTTCCATCGGGCCGCCGCGTTGCCGGGAGTATCCTCTCTTCCCCCCCCTTGGCCTCTGAACCCATCATGAACCCTAAAAAACGATGAAGAGCTCGATGACTGAAACACCAAGCTCCAGCGCTCAAGCGCAAAT